TTCCAAAGAGGCTGGATCTAGACTGTTCTCAGTGGTGGCAGATGACAGAACAAGGAGTAATGGTCTCAAGTTGCAGTGGGGGAGGTTTAGGTTGGATATTAGGAAAAACTTTTTCAGTAGGAGGGTGGTGAAGCACTGAAATGGGTTACCTAGGGAGGTGGTGGAATCTCCTTCCTTAGAGGTTTTTAAGGTCAGGCTTGACAAAGCCTTTAGTTGGGAATTGGTCCTGCTTTGAGCAGGGGGTTGGACTAGATGACCTCCTGAGGTCCCTTCCAACCCTGATATTCTATGAACACAATCTTGGCAAGTTCCTGTCAGATGCAGTAGGGCAGTATTCCTGCAGAATGCTCCTCTCTAGTAGATAAGGAAATTGTTTGAGATTTGCTTGATACCACAAAGTGGGGATTAGCATTTGTGGGGCCCTGTGCTCAGATCATTAGCCCAGTATTCCTGCAACCTTATGAGCTCTGAATACTCTCCAGGCAAGGGATTACAGGGACTAGGACCTGTCTTAACTTCCAGCTTGGCTACGAGTTCTCTAGACACAAAGCAGGAGGATCCGGGGTGGGTGTCTTGTGATCAGAGTGCTGAGTTGGGACTGCTGGGTGCCATTCCTGGCTCTTAGCTTGGCAAGTGATGTGTAAGTCACTTCCCTGCTCTGTGCCTAAGTTTCCACCCCCTTTACAGTGGGGACAATAATACCTACCTCACAGGGAAGTTGAGGGTAATGTGATATTTGTAAAGAGCTTTGTGCTGCTTTAGTACCCTTCATTCAGGGTTTAAAGTATTAATTACAGCAAAAGGAAGAGGGGTTGGGGAGGCATGGGATCAGAACAATTGCAAATCTCTCTCATTTCCTCTCCCTTTTGCTTTTAGAGTTGTTTTTGAACAGTCTGTCACAGCCGTACTCTCTGGAGGAGCAGGAGCAAATGCTCTCGTGTCTCAGCATTGACAGCCCGCTCATGTCTGATGCCAGCGAGAAGGTGAATAAAAAACCACACAGCACCACTGCTGGGATCTGAGAGGCATCTGCCTCCTGATGTAAAACAGGCGGTACAGTGTCACCAGCAGTGGAGACGTGGCAGTACGGCCCCTGGCAGATGTGCTGCCTTTACCATTACCTCTGGGTCGATCTGTGGGTGGCCTAGGGACTGTTCTGTGGAGGGGATTCTCCCTTCTTTGGACACAGGAAGGTGGGTGCTGGTGAAATGTTCTTCCGTGTGCTCTCACTGTGGTTTAATAGTAACAATCCTACGGTGCTGTACTGGCAAATCACATGGCCCTTGCATATGCAGGATCAGGGAAGCGAGCTGTATGTGCGGTTACTTTTTCAGAACTCTCTGAAGGCCTCTCCGAGCCTGAGGGACACCATGAGCTCTGGGGTTCACTCCTGGAACAGCCAGACCGATGGACAGAGCTTCAGCTGGAACAACCTGCTGTATCGCAGTCGGCACACGGACACCCCCAGCTATTTCAATGGTGAGTCTAGTTGGGTCTCCAAATCTTGATGTAAATGGGGTGGACCGAGCTACCCCATATCTTGAGGGGGAGAGGGTGGTTCAGTAGCCACTGTGCGTGAGAGTAGCAGTTTTTTCCAATTTTTTTTCTCCCCATTGGAACAAAGGAACCATCCCTGGGAGGTGGGAGAGGGTCTTGCTAAGCCTGTGACATTTCATCTGGTAAAAAGCACATGAGAGTCAAGAGAGGCTGTGCCCACAGCTCCTGGTGAGTTCATGGGGTGCTCTGGCCCTTGCAGAGCAAGGCAGCCAGAGGAAAACTGCTGAATGCGTGGCTTCAAGGGGTGCAGCTCTGTGCCTCCGACACATTTGCAGTGCCTCTGGGCGCATGAGACACTTAGTGGCAAAAACCTGTACCTCAGGCTCCTACCAGGACATTGGTCGCTGACTGATCTCCTTTAGAACAACTTGTACGTTGGAACCAGAGACACTAACTCCACCAAGCTTGCAGTAGAAGTAAATGGCTCTCTGTTTCAGGAGTGAAAATCCAGATCCAGTTGCTAAGTGGAGAAAATCTTCATATCCGAGAGTTCCACAGGACCAAGGTGGGAGACATTGCTACTGGGATAAGCAGCCAGGTGAGGGGCAAGCAGAATGCTGAGAGTCAGATGGTGGCTGTTGGGCCATCGCATGCTGGCCAATCGTGGGCTACTGCTAGAGGGCAGCTAGTGGTGGCTTGGGGTTAATGAGCTAGTACACGTACATGTACACACACACACACACCCACCCTCTTGACTTAGGTGTAGTACTTTTAAACAATGTTGAGAGAGGGTTGAGTTGTTCAGACTTCTAGGGCTCTTTCTCTGACTGGAAACGTTGCTGGTTTTCTAGGGAAATTAGGATACTGCTTGCATAGAAGAGGCATGTAGTGAATGTCAGCTAGAGAAAATGGCTGCACATCCATTTATAATGGCCCTGAGGGAGTGTTGTCAACTTCCAGTGTAAATACTGGGCTGCCTCAGCTGGAGACTGCAAGGTGTGAGGGAAGGCAGGTACCAAGATCACAGGATTGTGAGGCTGTTGATCTTAAAACGCTTTGACCTTCTCAGAATAAAGGGGCTGTAGAAGTGTAAAGGATTTGTACTGTTGGACGTGTACCCATTTGGGATAAGCCATTCACTTAAGGATCACAAAACAAAGAGGTCCAGCTAAAGAGAAAAGGCTACAGGAGTCACAACTAACCCATCCATCCCGGTTAATGAATAACTAGCAGTAGGCACTAAACTGTGTGCGGAAATCCAGTGCAGGATAAATACCAACTATATTTGGCTTCTGAAATGGTCTATCACCGGAGGAGAATTAGGACATGATCCCTGCCAAGCATGAACCCCTTTCTCCTTGCACTTTTCATTAATCAGAACGCTGTTAGCCAGCTAGAGTATTCCTGTCATGCACTGAATTAGACTTTGATTGCCAAGTGCCACTCAGCTTTGTTTGCTCCGGTTCACAGATACCAGCCTCTGCTTTCAGCCTTGTTACAAAGGAAGGTCAACCTGTTCGCTATGACATGGAGGTTCCGGACTCGGGGATAGAGCTGCAGTGCACCCTTGCTCCTGACTGCAGTTTCGGTTGGACCTGGAGAGTCAAGCATGGTCAGCTGGAGAATAGACCATGAGGCTCTTGGTCTTGGAGGTCACTTCCTTATGTTGAAGCATGGAATGACAGAAGCCCACAACCAGCTTTGCCTGATAAGCATCAAATGTAGCTATTGCTGTTTCCTACTGAACTAGGATTCAGGGTTCAGCTACTCCCTGCTTTAGTGCATCAACTCCTTGCTGCTCGGTCTGGATTCAGTCTCTAGACAGGCACTGTCCTCATAGGGCGCCCTCTAGAGCGAGGGCTGTGTACATGCTGCGAATGAATGCGGCAATGAGGAACTTCTGCAGAGAGGAACAGGACTGTACTACTGTACATCAGCACTTTCCAGGAGAATGCTGGGGAGCGGGCTCAGAACTCCGACGTGAAGTCAGGAGATGTTGAACTCGCTAGAGGAAGGAAGCTGGGGATCTTGTGTAGTAAGATGGTGGATGAGAAGGTGGCAAACTTCTTTCTTGGTGGAGGAAAAATTCTGTTTCTGTAAGTTTTGAATAGCATCACTGCCTTAAGATTAGAGCAGTGGAGGAAAATAGAAGCTGTAACTGGCTGGGTTTCAGGGTTCTAGTCAAATCATTGTATTCCGTTTCCCTTCCCAGCAGCACTCTGGTTTTGAGGTTGTGGATTCTAATCAGAACAGGATTAGGGCCACTCTCCAGAAAGGGTTTTCCGTTCACCTCTGATTTCAACATCCCTTCTGTAGTTCTGGTCCACAGAGACCTTGCATTATCCCACTCTTTCATTATTGTAAGCAGTGTATATCAAGTAAGGGAATACATGGTCTGGAGGCTTGAGAGTTGACTCCTGGGTTCTGTTGCCAGCTTTGCCATTGATGTGCTGTGCCTTGACTAACCTTTTTGAGAGTCAGTTTGTCCATATGATGGATAGAATACAGATGGGAGGAATGGCAGCTAGATTTAACCCCTATGGAGCATATCCAGGTCTATGAATGACAGGTACTATGTAAGTCCTCTGTTAGAGCCATGGCTAAGAGTACTGTAAGGAAGTCAGTATCATTATCCCCATTTTACAGATCAGAAATCTGAGGCAAGAGCAAAGAAGTGACTTGGCCAAAACCACACTCTGAATGTATGGCAGAGCTGGGGCTAGAAACCATGGCTCCTGACTACAACCAGTGCTTTGTCCACAGACCATGTTGCAAATTCTAGTGAAACGTGCAAGTAATGCTGGGCTAAAGTACAGTTCTCCTCCGCCTTGATTAGAAGATGCAAGCACATTAAGCCTCTAATCTCCAATGGTCTCTTGCATGGTTAATGTTTCTGGCTGTGTTACATGATCAAAAATCCTGAATCAGAAAATCAAAGCTCTTGAAAATGTGAATTCCAAGATGAGTGGAACTTTTGTATCACTACACTGCTACTCAGCGTAGTGATATTTCTATACTTGTTTCATCCCAAAATACTTAACAAACCTGGAGAGAGTATATATCTGTTGTAGCTGAAATGCAGCCAGCTCTGGCATCTAGCAGTAACCAGCTAGCAAATAACACATGGCATTCCCACGGAGAGGGGAGACTTGCGTTCCATTACACTTCTTCTCTTAAGAAAAGTGTCATGGGAATTCAACTTCTAATTTTGATGGCGAGCCTCCATGACTTCTGTTTTCAGAAGCCCTAAAGTACATGGAACTGTTCTGCTACCTTGGAGGAGTGAAAGGCTGAGTTAGCATTGGTGGGGTTGGAACCTCTTTCCACAGAGCTGAGGAATTCCAAACCCTAATGCTTTGTCAACTGCCGCAAATTCACTGGCAGTGGGGACTCTGGTTCCTGTCTCCTTCTGGGGGGCAGGATTTTCTTTGTCTTCCATAAAGAAAACCGTGGCATTATAATCGGCAGCTGACAGTGTGTTGCTGTGACATTACTACAGAGTGTCCCTGGTATTTGTCTCCCCCTTATCCATTGTTTCGCATATCCATCGCCCATCAATAGGGGAATGTGTTCCAATTCACGTCGGTCCCGATCCGCATATCCGTCATTTGCAACCTACAGTACTGCAAACAACAGATCTGTGGATTGGGACTGATGTGAATGGAACACGTTCCCCTATAGAGGAGCGACCAATATGGGACAGAAATGAGGAGCCATGGGTGGGCCACGCCCCACCCACTTAACACCCAGGCCCATCCCACCAGTCCCAGCTCTGCTTCCTCTCTCTTCCCCCCCCCCCA